AAACCATTTGCAGAGTTCAGGCTGTTATAGAGTTATTTCAGATATAGTGCTCGAATAAATAATGAGAGGACAAGGAAAAGGAACAACATTTTGAAGGAAAGCCATTTTTTTTTTCTTACATATCTTAGAAAATGTAGAATCAACACAACAAGACCAATGAAGCAAGTCATCTGTATCCATACAATGAGACTCCAATGAACACAAACAACAAACACTGTAAATACATGTGAAACCTTAAATGGATCATCGGTAACCAAGTTTCTATTATGGAGTTGTTCTTTATGATATTGTTTATCAATTGAAATAAATAAAAAGATAAACTTGATTGTAAGAAAAAACATAGTTAAGATAGCGGGAAATGCTACAGTCTCGTTACGGAACCATTCCGTTGGGATTTGTAAATGTTATGTAACCATCGTGGATAGTTGATCTAACGGCCCCGACGGAATGGTTCCGTAACGGGACCGTAGAATCTCCCTAAGATAGCTGATAACAAAGAGCAACTTACAGAAACAAATAATCAACAAATGAAATCAATGGGACAACTTAGTTCAATAAGCTTACTTGCGGCAAATCATCTTTTCCTGGTTGAATTTCCTAGCTAAAGCCATAAGCGAGGGCTCAATGATGCCACCCCTGAGCCTCAGAACCAGATGCAAAGTCGACTCTGCAAAAAATAATTCCAACAATCACTAAAAATGAACTAAACCCTAAACACAAATCCTAAAGAAAACAATCCATTAAATAAAAAATAACACAAATAACCTTTCTGGATGTTGTAATCCGCAAGGGTTCGGCCATCTTCGAGCTGCTTTCCGGCGAAGATCAAACGCTGCTGATCTGGCGGGATCCCTGAAACATAAATACAGAACAAGTTGGCAAATAATTATTCAGAAACACCGAAGAAAAATTCAACTTCCTTTTTTTTTTTCCCCTTTGCATTTTCCAAATAAACACGAAATGAGCTGAAAATTGGTCGATTAGGTGAAAGCAAACGAACGAACGAACGAGATAATTACCTTCCTTGTCCTGAATCTTAGCCTTGACATTGTCGATTGTGTCGCTCGATTCGACCTCGAGCGTGATGGTCTTGCCGGTTAGGGTTTTGACAAAGATCTGCATTTTCGCCGCTCTTACCGGAGCTCAAGCTGGACTGATGGACTTATAATACACCAGGAGCTAGCTAGGTTTCCGGCACACGAAACGGCGATCGCTCCCGTTGTATTTTTTTACATTTGGAGTAAATAGTAATTTAAATATATATATTTTTTAAATAGAGATAGAAATGTAAATATATGTATATAATTTAAAAATTAATTAAAAGCTTACGACTATCTTAGCTGGGAGTTTGTGCGAGGGTCGTTGGTACTGGCGGGATTTTCGACTGTGTTTGTCCGGGCGGTGATGGCTTGTGTCACATCGGCTACCATGCAGTTGCAGTGGGATGGGGGTGTCAACGAGGAGTTCTGTCCTAGCCGTGGTGTTCGCCAAGCGGACCCAATCTCGCCCTACCTATTCGTGTTTTGCATGGAGCGTTTGGCTCATATGATTGACAAGTCGGTGGAAAGTGGAGCGTGGAAGCCTTTCACGGTGGGGAAGGGCAAGGTGGCGGTGTCGTATCTAATGTTTGCTGATGACTTATTGTTATTTCTGGAAGCGGATCATGCTCAAGCGAGTGGCCTACAAGCTATTTTGAATTTGTTTTGCCAGGCTTCGGGCCTGAGTGAGCGTGCAGAAGACCCAGATTTTCTTTTCCCCTAATGTGACGAAAGAGACTCGCTTAACTCTGGCCCAACGTTTGGGGTATCAGATGGTTGATAACTTGGGTAAATATTTGGACATGCCTCTCCATCATAGTCGGGTGACTAAGTCTACGTATATCGGGTTGCTTGAAAGGGCTGAAGGACGGCTTGCGGGCTGGAAATCTTCGGCGCTTTCGTTGGCTGGCAAGGTCACACTGGCCCAATCGGTGTTAGCTTCCCTGCCTTATTTCTCCATGCAGACCGTTTCTCTACCCCATGGTGTCTGCGATGGGCTAGAGCGGAAATGTAGGAATTTCATATGGGGCGGGGACGGCCTCCACGCGAAAGGTGAGTCTGGTGTCATGGTCTGAGGTTTGCCGGCCAAAGGCTGATGGGGAACTTGGGATGCACAAACAACGATTAATGAATCAAGCTTTGCTTATGAAATTGGCTTGGAAATTCCTAACGAAGCCTGACCTGTTGTGGTGTCGGGTGATTAAAGAGAAGTACAAGCATGAGCCACGAGACATGGGTGAGGATTTCGAGTTTCCTAAGGGTTCATCGGTCCTTCGGGCTATTCGAGAAGTGTGGAGGGCGACCGCGAATGGTTGTAGATGGTCGCTAGGGGATGGCCAGAGGGCTAGATTTTGGTGGGATCGCTGGTTGGGCGTACCCGTCTCGTTAATTTCGGTTGCTACCTGCCCGGTACCAAAGAGTTTGCTGCAGGCCCCAGTCTCGATCTACGTTACAGCGAATGGCCGGTGGGATTGGGCCCGTTTCCAAGATTGGTTGCTGGTGTCTTACCTCTTCCGTATAGCAGCGATTCCGCCGCCGCTGGCGCATAGTCGAGAGGATAGCCCATATTGGGGGTGGTCGGAGGATGGCCGTTTTACGACCCAGTCGGCATATCGCTCTTTTTCTCAGCCAGGTCCAGCCCATGGGTCACGACTTTGGAGGCTGATTTGGAAGTGGCTCGGTCCTCAGCGGGTGCGGATGTTCCTTTGGTTGGCTGCCCGAGAGAGCTTGCTCACTAACGTTAGTCGGGTGCGTCGCCACATGTCTTCCTCGGCCATCTGTACTGTTTGCAATAATCAGGAGGAATCTACTTTGCATGTATTACGTGATTGTGAAGTTGCGGTGATGACGTGGAAGGGCCTTGTTCCACAGGCACAGTGTCTCGGCGTCTCTTCAAGAGTGGTTGATGGACAATTTGTCGGGCCGTTTGATTCCAGAGCTTGGTGATTGGGCGATGCTTTTCGGGCTGACAGCCTGGCATCTTTGGGATTGGAGAAATTTACATGTTTTTTAGGGCTGTGATCGACCAATGCATGGGCGCATTCAGGAGGACCGCTCGCTTTCTTCTCGCGTGGGTGCCGTAGTAAAGAATAATCACCGCCTTGGAGCTTGCATCCGCCGGGAGATGCGCTGGCTTTCGTGGTCGGTTCCGTTGATGGGTACCCTAAAAATTAATACTGATGGAAGCTACATCCCAGCCTCTAGGATGGCTAGTGCTGGGGGAGTTATTCGAGACCATTGCGAGAGATGGGTCCATGATTTTACGATGAATATTGGCTACTGCTCTGTTGTAGGAGCCGAACTCTGGGGATTATTCCAAAGATTGCAACTGGCCTGGGATATTGGTGCCCGTAGAATCATAGCCGAGGTCGATAACCAAACCATTATTACTATGGTTGGTCGAGAGGATATTTGCAGGCCGCATAGTAGCCTTGTGCGGGGTATTCGGGACTTGATGGGCCGACCTTAGGAAATGGAGATCGTCCATGGGCATCGTGAGACTAATTTCGTGGCTGATTTTCTAGCTTCTTTAGCAGCTCGTGGAGGGGGTGGCTTGCACCGATTCGATAGCCCGCCAGCGGGGGCGGGTTGATGGTTATCTCACGACAACGCGAGAGTGTCTCACCCCCGACGAATCGTGATCAAGCGTTAGCGATATCACTTCCTTTTTTGCACCAAAAAAAAAAAATAAAATGAATATTATATTGTGAATGGCCCTAAAAACATACAACAATTAATTTAGTATTATAAATATAAAAATAATAAAAATCTTAATTGTATTTATTGATAAGTATAATTTTGTTACTTTATGTACTTAAATATACATTCATTCATCTTCACATTATGCCACAATGTATGCCTCTTTACATTTAGGTTGTGTAACAAAAAAATGGCATATAATATGAAACTTATTATGCTATTTTCAGATTTTGTTTTATCCCACATTTGGCTCTTGCATTATATGGAAAAACCATTGTAAGCAAACTTGATTGAAGAAGATGTATATGTGGCTCTTGCAAAATGCAAAGCTAGTCTTCGGACAAAAAAGAGTCTTTCTCTGTTGTACTCTGGAGAGGTACATTCATCTATACCATGAGGTAAAACAATGTGTATTGAGTGAAAGTGCGAGAATTGAATTGTGTCTTCTCGTTAGAGTACACGTCGTATCAAAATTTATTTCTTTTATGATTCAATACTTATTTGGTAACGAAATTCGAAATCTACAAGAATTTGTCATCTGACGTAGCCTTAGATTACGAAACTCGTCTAAAACTACTAGACGAAAATCATCCCTACATCGGCAAATGGATTCCTGAAATTCGACATTATTCTAAACGATATCGGGTTTGACGGTCACATAGCATCCCTTTTCCCAGACAGGCCTCAGCAGTACGAGTAAAAACGGTGGATCACATTCATAACCAATTCACGTAAACCGCCGCCGAATAGGATCACGTTTACTTTTTCGCAGTGTTCTAAAAGTCGCTAGGCGCTCGACCAACGCCTAAAGCCTAAAGCGCCTAAGTGAGGCCTAGACGGCGCCTAGTCAAGGCCTATAAATCAATATTAAATATCTTATTTTTTATTTTATTTTAACTACCTACAAAATAAAATTATCTCAACATATAATAAATCGACACACCTAAGTCTAAATAATAAAATTAATATATTTAAAAGAAATGAGAACAAATAATGTAATTAGTGTTTAAAAAAAAAAAAACTGAAAAATTATCGTCCAGCCCGCCTAGGCGCCGCTTAATCGCCTGGCCGCCGAGCCCGCCGAGTATGCCTAAGAGCGCCTAGGACTGCCTAGGTTCTCCTAGGTGCCGCCTAGCCGCCTAACCAACTTTTTCTGTCGATTTGTGCAAATCGGAGGCGTCCGGGCACCGCCTAGCGCCTAGGCGCCGCCTAGGCCGATTTTTATAACAATACTTTTTCCGGTAATCAACTCGGCTTCAAACATTGCCATGGTGGTAAAGAGGTGGCAGATGCTGTCGATATAACGTTGGGCGGCGGTGGCAATGACCGGTTGCCATGTGGTAAACTGAAGGCTGTCAAAACATTGCCATGGTGGTAAAGAGGTGGCAGATGCTGTCGATATAACGTTGGGCGGCGGTGGCAATGACCGGTTGCCATGTGGTAAACTGAAGGCTGTCGAGGAGTTGACATGGTTTTTGGACAAAGATGTTGGTTCTGAGCTATAGTAATGTGGTAGTGAAAAAATTGAGATTGTAGTATTAAAGAGCTATTATGATACATGAAATAAAAACATTGTATTTTATTTTAGAAGTGATAATTTATTATTGTTGTATTATTCTCTCGAATTATAAGTGATAATTATTTCGTTTTGAAGAATTAAAGATCGTTATAATCAAAATCAACATTTTTTTTTAGGAAAAAGGTAAAAATAAAAATAAAAGCCTAATGTGCCATCGCAAAGTATCCACCCCTGAAAACATTAAAATGGACCTTTGTTAAACTAATTACACATCTTAACAACAATTGGGCCTATAAGAAAATGGGCTCAAGGTTGCTTTTATGTTGGTTTACATGCCCATGGAATAGCTCAATTACGACGTCGTTTCTG